TTTTTTATATAAATTTATAATGAAAAGATATACTTAATTGATCTCTATTAAAAAACACAAATTATAAAAACCTTTTTAAAAATCTAATTGCGCAAAATAGAACTTGTAATTAGTGAATCAAGCAAACCACCGCCTACGATGAGGATGATAATGATGATGATGGATGCATACACGATAAATTAATAAAATTGTCTTTTTATTAATAATTAATTAAACTATTTAATGATTAAGCCCAAAATCTGTTTTATTTTTCCATAAATACATTGACTGGTTCAGAAAATTAAACGCAAACGTGGAATATGACGAGTAATCAACCCCTAACCATCCTCAAATGTTATTTTCACCCAAGGTATAGAATGTAGACTTGTTCCAAAAAAATAAAATAAACTAAAATGAAAAGCAGAGATGTTGTAGCTTTTTTTTAAATGATTGTTATACCTTTTTATTTTATACATTCGTTAATACTTATTTATTCAATCATTAAAAGCAGTACTTGAAAATTCTTTCATTTTAATTTGAAATTTAAAAATAATATTTTTTTAATAAATATGGTGCAAAATATATTGAATCAAAATGTAAACTTACCTCTATTTTTTTTTAAAACAATAGATATAGCCTTCTATTAATAAATGAGGTAAAGAGAATATAAGACAAATTTTGTCTCTTATAAAATTTCTCTAATTTTCACTTTTCCCCGTCTCAATCGCATACTGCTATTTTGCATAGTCAAGTCCAGCCTCTAGAAATTCATGCTTGCTAACCAAGTATTCTACCTAACCATAGAAAATATACATATAGCAAGTTCTTCATTTACATTTACTCTGATATGCCTACATTACTGATTGACCAAGCCTGGCCGGTTGATTTTCAGGCGATAACCTGGGCAGACATTATGTTCTTTTTCTTAAGCCTTTAAATTTTCTCAAGTCTCTCCTGCATATAATACCGACTCTCCACAGCTTCCCAACTACTGCCGGTTCTTCAATATTGTGGCAGTCATGGCGGCTTGTGTAAGCTATCTATCTCTCTTCATTCTTTCTCTTTTTATTGTCTATTATGTTCCAGTTCAAAGTGGCGGTGGCTTCGGCGCCCAACTCATCCACCGTGATTCACCAAGATCACCTTTCCACAACTCCTCAGAAACCCATTCACAACGCCTAACTAATGCCTTTCTCCGTTCCATCAACCGCCTCTCTTACTTTAACACATCAAGACTTGAACTTCAATCCGATGTTTTTTCAGACGGTAATATTGGCGAATACATCATGAATATATCAATTGGCACGCCGCCAGTGGAGATTTTGGGTATAGCTGACACAGGCAGCGATCTTATATGGACGCAGTGCAAGCCTTGCGCTCATTGTTACAAGCAAGATGCCCCTCTGTTCGATCCCAAGTCTTCCTCCACATACGAGCCTCTGTCGTGCTTGTCAACAGAATGCAAAGCTCTGAATGCAACTATAAATGGGACTTTTTGCCCCCCCAAAGCAGGGGATAGTACTTGCTTGTATACATACACCTATGGAAGTGGCTTCACAAAAGGTGATCTTGCCACCGAAACAGTCACCCTAACATCTGTTAGCGGCGAACCGATAGCCTTCCCAAAGACCATAATCGGCTGCGGGAGGAACAATAGTGGAGGCTTTGACAAGAGAGAATTTGGTATCATTGGCCTCGGAGGAGGTGTTGTTTCCCTTGTTTCCCAATTGGGTCCTTCAATAGATGGAAAGTTCTCCTATTGCTTGGTTCCTATCTCCGATGTGCCTTACTACTCAAGCAAAATTTACTTTGGTGCTAATGCTATTGTTTCAGGGTATGGAGTCGTCTCTACTCCTTTGGTAAAGAAAAACCCAGATACCTTCTATCTTCTCACCCTACAAGCGATCTCTGTTGACGATGTTATAATAGAATTCAAAGGTTCTGCTTTTGGAACCACAGAAGGGAACATCATCATTGACTCAGGGACTACAGTGACAATGTTGCCTAAATACTTTTACTTGGAATTGGAGTCAGCAATTGCTAGTAAGATACAGGCCAAGCGTGTTCATGACCCTGATAAGGTTTTCGGTCTCTGCTACAAATTTAATTCCAATTTTAAAGTTCCCAAAATTGTAGTTCGTTTTGCTTTTGCTTCTGTGAAGTTGGATCCTTTAAACACCTTCATTATGATAACTAAGCATGTTGGGTGCTTCACGTTTTTACCGACGGACGACGGGTTTGCAATCTATGGCAACTTGAACCAGATGAACTTCTGGATTGGGTATGATACCGTGAAGCGGACTGTTTCCTTCAAGCCAACTGATTGCACAATGCACTAGCTTTATGCTTGAGCCTTTCATTTCTTGTTCTACGTATATGTGATTACCCTTCCATACAAGATATTAATGTATTTTCTTTGTTTTCTTACTTTGGACTAGAATTCCTCTCTACCTGCGTGATTCAAAGTGTTTATGCTTGCAATTGTTTGGAATGCTTGTTAAGTGTTTGATGGAAAAGAATATAGTTTTTGTAAATTTTGACTCTGATGGTCTTATCTACTACTACTACTACTTTTTAATTTTCCTTGCAGAATAAAATAAATTTTGATTAGTACACGCTTCTAAATTTTGGTGGGTGAAGATTGCGTTCCTATGTTGTTTTGCCTTTTACTCTAATTATAATATAGGTAAAATCTTACATTAAGCTTCCAAACTTATTCTAGATTTCAATTAAGCACTTAAACTTTTATTGAAGTAAATAAACTCCTAACTTATTGATGTGAGCAATTTAACTCTCTTCCTTATTGCAGACTTAACACTCGTTTGTGCCTTTCTTGCATTGATAAGGTTAATACTTATTACATAGGCAATGATATGTCAATAACTTATTCATGCAAATGATGCACAAACTAACGTTAAATTTGCTATAAGGAAGAAGGGTTAAATTGCTCAAATTGCCAAGTTTAAGAGTTTATTTGCATCAATATATAAAAGTTTAGTGGTTTAATTGAGAATCTAGCGTAATTTTGAGGGCTTAATAGAGAGCATAACCTGATGAAGTAGCTATTGTTTTTAATGTGAAAGGATTGAACATTTTAGTTAATGATTTGTTATATGTTATCTAATGTTTAGTTATTTATTTCATAATTAGACATGTCAAATGTGGGAAACTAATCTTGGTAGTCCCATTCAAGTAGAGCACCATAACTTTGTCTTTTAGCCTTTTGCAGTACTGTAATATCCCAAATTTTATGAAATTCTAGCATTTAAGTTGAGGACCTTTGTGTGAGAAAATATTATTTTGGAGCCTATTAGCTAAAATATCCAAATTTGAGAGACTTAAAAGAGAAAAACATTAGGATAAGGATCAAGCTGATTTTTTTCATTCTTTCTTCCTCAGCCACGCGGGTTTCTTCTTCTTCCTCCTCACCCCTGGAGCTCCCGAAAAAGAAGCCCAAGCACCGACTTCCATTCCTTGGAAAAAAAAAAAAAACTGGTAAAAGCTTGGGGATTTCTCCTTCTTTTCTTGTTCTAGAACACATATAGAACCCAGAAATCTTCCCCCTGCAGAGAAATTTCCAGATCTGCTCTGCTCTTCCTCCCCTGTCTGCGAGCTGTAGCTTGTGGTGCGAATTTCTGGGCTTTTTTTTCTGGTAAGCAACAACCATGGAATTCATCTTTTCTCCCTTAATTTGGCTTGGGTTACTCTAATTTTGTTATGGGTTCTTGAATTTGGTAGTTGCCATGAGTTCCTCCATTTCTTTTTCCCGTCGGCTTCCTTCCCAGCCGGACCTTGTACTACTTGCTGGAAGATTTTGGGTATGTGGCAACCCCATGAATTCAACTTTTACCCATTTAATTGCTAAAATTATCCATGTAATTGTTGCCCCTGTACTGTTCAATTTCTGTCGAAATATAGAAGAAATTGGTAGCACTTCAAGTTGTGTTTTTAGTTTAATTCATGTAGAAATTTCTTGATTTAGCTTCTGTGAGGTTTATATGGAAAAATCCCGTGACTTAGCCAAATTTTGCCAAAGCCGGTTCCTCCATGTTCTGTCCATGAATTTGGGAAATGTTGTATATGTGTAATTATGTGTGTGTGTATATATATATATATAAATATACAATTTGATGTTGTGTGCTCAAATTTCGGAAAGAAGAAGAATAAAGAAATAAAATTTGCCTATTGGGATTAATGGTCGGCAATCATGGAATAGGATTAAATAATGAGTTTTTAAAATAAGAATGAAATTAGAGGTGTTCGGTCATGTGGAGGTTAATATAAATAGCATCTTGATTAGGGGGTAATCCTAATGATGTTTTCACTTTGAATTTGTGGTAGTACGGTATTAATTCTGGGGGATTTTGATTAGGTTCTTAAGTGTTCTGTCACCCAAGCACTTGGCTTGAATTTCTGGTATTACGGATTTGAGGTAAGTAAATTATGGTAATGCCCTTCGATTTCAAAGCATGTTTTAAATTGTTTTTGAGATAGTGGCAAGGTTTAAATTGATTTTATTAGCACCGAGCATGATTGGTTTGAAATGAAATTGTTTTCAATTGCATTGAGTAGAGCATGCCTACTTGGAATTGACTGAACTGTCTTGATGAAATGAGAATTTTGTAAATTTTGATTTTTCTGTTAAATCCATGCTCACATGGAAATTTTTCTGGTTATTTATGAAATTTGAGATTGATTGTGAATTACAGATTTTTTTATAAATCTTGCATGGTTTTGTCTCTGATATAGTTATGATTACTGACGCCCGCTAGTGGGAGTTTGCAAATGCTAGCACATGTCGACATGTATACCAATAGAACTGGTTCATTCTGTAATCTTGCCAATGGGATAATATATTGGTAATTATTGACATTTGCCAATGGGTGAATACATTGGTAATTTCTAATGCCTGCCAGTGTGAGTTGTTAAACACTGGTTATTACTGATGCCTGTCAGTGGGAGTTTGTTAAACATTGGCCATGACTTATAGATGGGACTATTACTGAATTTTCTTCTACATTAACGGCTTGTCATTGAACGCTTTGTTATTGAACTGAATCCGATTCTGATTCTGTATTAACAGTTTATCATTGAACATTTTGTTCTGTTAAACTGTTTATCAGGCATGCTAAAAATTTTACTCACGGGTTATCCATATTTACTTACTGAGTTATCTCATAGTTTTTTCTTATCCACCATTTTAGGAAACGAAGCCAAGGACAAGGAAAAACGAGGGGAGTGACGAGTTAGAAGGCTAGCCATCTTGTAAATTGAATATAGATTTTAGATATAAATCATGATCTTGTAAGCTAGACTTTATTTGGAGATTTTATGATATCAAGGCAAATTTTAAAATTTTATCTTTAGATTTTGTGGTATCAGATTATGGTATGATAAGTTTCGAGCCTTGTGCATTTGTGAGACCCTCTCACAAGTGTATGACGTCTGCCACGTCCACGAATTTGGGTTCTGGGGTGTGACAAGTACTACAAAAGTGTCAAAGTTGTATTATTTTAAGATAAGATCGTGGGAGTAACCCAAGAAATTAAGCTATTTGTTTCAATGTTCCACATAATGGGCAACCATAAGTCATTGAAAATGAAAGGTAAGAGTATGAATTTGAGATGCTCTTAGCTCTTAGCTATAAGCTTGTAATATCCAAAAATTTTCTAGAATATTTAAGTGTGAGTTAGGGACTAACTTGTGAGGAAATAATATTATTGAACTTAATAGCAAAATTTTTAAATTTCAAGGGGCTTAAAAGTGAAAGATATTAGGATAAGGATCGGAGGATTTTTTTTTCTTCTTCCCAGCCTTGTGCGTTTCTGCTTTTCTTCTCCTTCTTCTCACCCGCTGCAGCCCCAAAAAGAAACCCAGCCACCGATGCTTCTTTCTCTTGAGAAACCGGTAAGAGTTTGAAGTTTTCCCCTTTCTTTTCTTGTTCTAGGACTGAAATTGAATCCAGAAGTCTCCGCCTTGCAGAAAAATTTTGGTTCTGCTCTGCTTTGTTTCTTCCATCTGCTACTCCTGCTTTGTTGGGGCGAATTGGTCTGGTTTCTGGTAAGAAACAACCATTATTTTCTTTGCTCTTCCTTGAATTTAATTGGGTTTACTTTAATTTCTCTTGGTTTCTCCAATTTTCAGTAAATTGCATGATTTATTTCTCCTGCACTTCCCGTCGGTCTTCCCCAACTGCAGCTCCGGTTTTGCTTGCAAAATTCTGGTATGTTGACAGCTCTTCCAAGCCCAAAATTTCATCAATTAGTTGCTGAATTTTGTCCATTTATTTGCTGCCCCGTGCTGTCCGAATTTTGTTGAAAAATGGGGATGAATTTCGGTAGTAATTAGAGCATAATTAAGCTTAATTCATGTAGAAAATTAGTTTATTTTGGTTGTTGTGATTTTTGGAGAAAATCCCGTGAGATTAGCTATGGTTTTGCCCATTTTTGGAAGTTGCAGTTACTTTTCATTACGTGATTATTGTTTATAAGTACTGTTCACGGATACTGTTTACGCACTAATGGTCAACAATAGGAGGGTTTAAATGTGTAGTTATATTGAGAATAAAATTGAGATGTTTGGTCATATGGTTGAATTTCGTGTGAAGCTCATTAGTTAGTAAATTTGCAAGGTTGTGCTAATAATTCTAGCAAAGTCTAAGTGTATTTATTTGGAATATTAGGTGCTGTTATGGCTTAGAGTACTGGGATTGAGTCCTCGGTTTATGCGATTGAGGTAAGTAAATTATGGTAATGCCTTTCGATTTCAAAGCATGTTTTAAACTAGGTTAAATCCCCATTTTAGTCCCTAAACTATTGTACGGACCCCGATTTGGTTCTTGAACTAAAGAAATCCTTAATTTGGTCCCTAAACTATTGTATGAACCCCGATTTGGTCCCACTGTTTATAATTTAACTTAATTTGGTCCTTGAACTATTGTATGAACTCCCAATTTGGTCCTTACTGTTTACAATTTCACCACAATTTGGTCCTTGAGCTATTATCTAACAGAAGGACCAAGTTGGGGCTAAATTGGTAAACAGTAGGGACCAAATTGGGGATCTGTATGATAGTTTAAGAACTAACTCGGGGATCCGTACAATAGTTTAGGGACCAACTCAGGGTCCATACAATAGTTCAAGGATCAAATTAGGGATTTCTTTAGTTTATGGACCAAATCGGGGGTTCGTACAATAGTTCAGGGACCAAAATAGAGATTTAACCTTTAAACTATTTTTGAAATGGTGGCAAGATTTAAATTATTTTGTTAGCACCGAGCATGATTGATTTGAAATGGAATTATTTTCGTTTCCATTGAATAGAGCATGCCCACTTGGAATTTACTGAACTACTTTGATGATTTGAGAATTTTTGTAAATTATAATTTTCTGTTAAATCTATGCCCACATGGAATTTTTTGGTTATTTCTGAAATTTGGAATTGATCGTGAATTACGGATTTCTTTTGTAAATCTTGCATGTTTTGTCTCTGATATGGTCATGTTTTACTATGCCCGCTAGTGGGAGGTTTATAAATGCTAGCACATGTTGACATGTTTACTGATAAGATTGGTTCATTCTGTAATCCTGCCAATGGGATAATACATTGGTTATTACTGAAATCCTGCCAATGGGATAAAACATTGATTACTACTGTGCCCGCTAGTGGGAGGTTTATAAACGCTGGCCATGACTTATAGATGAGACTACTACTGAATTTTCTTCTACATTAACGGTTTTGTCATTGAATGCTTTGCTATTGAACTGAATCTGATTTGGCATTAACGGTTTGTCATTGAATTGAATTTGATTTTCTATTAACGGTTTATCATTGAATGTTTTGTTATGTTAAATTGTTTATCTGGCATGCTTAAAATTTTACCCAAGGGCTATCCATATTTACTTACTGAGTTATTTCATAGTTTTCCTTGTCCACCATTTTAGGAAGCGAAGTCAAGGACAAGGAAAAACGAGGGGAGTGACGAGTTAGAAGGCTAGTCATCTTGTAAATTGAACATAGATTTTAGATATAAATCATGATCTTATAAGCTAGATTTTAATTGGAGATTTTATGATATGAGAGAAAATTTTATAATTTTATCTTCAGATTTTGTGGTATGATAAGTTTCGAGCCTTGTGCATTTGTAGGACCCTTTCACGAGTGCACGGCATTTGTTATGCCTCAGATTTGGGTTTTGGGGCGTGACAAATTTAGTGGTATCAGAGCTTAGGTTTAAATTAAGAGCTTAGAATTAAATTAAGCACCTCCAGATTTTGTGGTATCAGAGCTTAGATTTAATTAAATACTTAGGTTTAATTGAATACCTAGGATTTGTTTAGACTTGGCTAGCTAATGGATTTTAGAACCGTGGTGAGATGAGTGATGGGGTTATATAAGGGATGATTCTGATTCATGTTGCTTGAATTTTCTAATCTATTTTGATGAGATGGTAATCTAATTGTTCTTGTTTCCTACCTTCATACCCTGTGTAGATTCAAGAAATTAATCTTGTTCGCCATGTTCTTAAGACCTTGTTTCGAAACTTGGTCATTTTATGATAGTTTGCACTTGTTTAGACTTGTTACTTGAATATAATTTTTGTATGCTCTTTTGCCACAATTGCAAAATCTAGGGAGTTGCAGAGATCTTTTGTTATTGATCTTGTTGGTTTCTACAGCATAGTTGGTTGAGAAATTTGTTATGTTTGTCACATGACCAGTGGAAGATGGGCAAACCCTCTACTTTGTAAGAGGTTCAAGGCTATTTTAGCAAATATTGTGTGTTTTCTAGATGCGTTTTAGGAGCTGGATAACTTAGTAATTTCGCTACTCATTATCTTTCTGAAAGTCTTATAGTGAAATTTCACTTTTTCCATTTGGAGCTTCATGGTCTTTTCATGTGGCTCATTTTTCTATATTGGTTAATCAAAAACAGTTATCAATTCAATTGAAATTGTCATGTTTTTGTGAAGATTGGCAAGTTGTCATAAAGTTAAACTCTCTATTGTTGCTAATCTCTACATTCTTGATACCTGGAATTGCTTGAAACTCTTGAAATCCATCTTGAATCTTTCTTGAGATTGCTTTGTACTTGTTCGTGAAACTAAAATCCAAAGGAAATGGATAATGATTATTGAAATCCTCATCATCTTGACACTTGTCTGAAATTAATTCTTGCATTGTTCTTGGAATCTTATCTTGAACCTTACCTAGAGTAAAGTCATGTCAGCATCCTTTTCTTGAAAATCAATTGATATTTGGTTTTTGGAATCTGTTTTGAATTGTCCTTGAAAACCATTCTTGTCTTGACCCTTGTTCTTGCTCAAATTCTGTATACTGCTCTTGCTCAAATCCTACATATTCTGCTAGTTCTTGTTTTAGTATACCTATTGATCTCCTTGATTTGTGATTTTATTCATATGGACACCTTCTTAGGAGGGGTGATGATTATTAGAAAATACCTATATGAGGCATCCTAATTCTTGTTTCTTGCAAGTGTTAATCTCTGTATTCTTGATGTCTTAACTTTGACTTGACTCTAGGATGACTTGATTGTAAATCTGCTTAGCCTCCATAGGCTATAAGGTGAAGGGATAGTCTTTGAAGTACCTGATGCCCTAGAGTTTTGTTCCAAGAGAAATGGTTCTTTCATTTGGCTGCTTTATTTTTGTTGCCCTTTTAATTAGAAGACAGTAATCTTCTAAGTATCCTGATCCCCACTATTGATTATTCTATTAATTAATTTGTGTTACTTGGGGTGCTAGACCTTGACATCCTAGTTATATCTGCTCTTGAATCCGTGTTCTGGTTGTCATTATTGAAATCTCTTTTGTAGGCCTAATCTTTAAATTCTATTGCTTGTTTCATGGTTAACTCTTGTCTCTCAATTTTGATTGCTTGGTTAAATTTGATCTTGATTCTTGGTGAATGTCATGTTGTTGCTGAATTTTTTGAGGCATTTTACCTTGCACTCTTATGTTCCAGTATTCTTCCAAGCATTCATATTTTCCATTGATTTCATTTTGATGCTAGTTTGAAAATTTCACATGTCATTTGATGGGTCTAGCTTTTAACTCTTTTTAATTGCTAAAATCTGTCTCTTGATTCCAGTTGTTTTGTTAAACATGATCTTACTTATTGGTTAACCTTGTTTTGTGGCAGAATTTATAAGGCATCCATGCACTTGTTCATTCATTCATAATCCATATATCCATTGGATGCTTATCCGTCTTTGATAGAGTTCAAAGTTTTGTTGTCCTTGTCTTTAAATCCATGCCATTCTTTGCCAACTTGTCTTGTGTTGGGTTCATAACGTAACCCCACAATTGTTCTTTTGTGGCTTTGGCATGATTTATTTCTATTCCCTGTGTTTCCCATATCACCCTAGCCTCTAGTAGCTTATTTCATGGTAAATCCTGTTAAGTAGTTAATGTTCTGCTTTTATGATTAGTTGTGGTTTGATATTAGAGTGGCGCAGCGGAAACGTAGTAGGCCATGTTCTGTTCATAAAGAGTTGGTGAGGCATTTGTTTTGTCTTGGACTATGTGAAGCCATTCACCACTCGAGATGATCTTAGATTTGAGTTTTGGGGACAAAACTCTTTTTTAGGAGGGGTGAATGTAATATCCAAAAATTTTCTAAAATATTTAAGTGTGAGTTAGGGACTAACTTGTGAGAAGGTAATATTATTGAACTTAATAGCAAAATTTTTTAATTTCAAGGGGCTTAAAAGTGAAAGATATTAGGATAAGGATCGGAGGATTTTTTTTCTTCTTCCCAGCCTTGTGCGTTTCTGCTCTTCTTTTCCTTCTTCTCACCCGTTGCAGCCCCAAAAAGAAACCCAGCAACCGACGCCTCTTCCTCTTGAGAAACCGGTAAGAGCTTGAAGTTTTCCCCTTTCTTTTCTTGTTCTAGGACTGAAATTGAACCCAGAATTCTCCCCCCTACAGAAAAATTTCGGTTCTGCTTTGCTCTGTTTCTTCCATCTGCTGCTTCTACTTTATTGGGGCGAATTGGTCTGGTTTTTGGTAAGAAACAGCCATTATTTCCTCTGTTCTTCCTTGAATTTAACTGGGTTTACTTTAATTTCTCTTGGTTTCTCCAATTTTCGGTAGATTGCATGATTATTTTCTCCTGCACTTCCCGCCGGTCTTCCCCAACTGCAGCTCCGGTTTTGCTTGCAAAATTCTGGTATGTTGATAGCTCCTCCAAGCTCGAAATTTCATCAATTAGTTGTTGAATTTTGTCCATTTATTTGCTGCTCTGTGTTGTCCGAATTTTGCTGAAAAATGGGGATGAAATTCAGTAGTAATTAGAGCATAATTAAGCTTAATTAATGTAGAAAATTAGTTTATTTTGGCTGCTGTGATTTTTGGAGAACATCCTGTGAGATTAGCTATGTTTTGCCAATTTTTGGAAGTTGCAGTTACTTTTCATTACGTGATTACTGTTCACGCACTAATGGTCAACAATTGGAGGGTTTAAATGTGTAGTTATATTGAGAATAAAATTGAGATGTTTGGTCATATGGTTGAATTTCGTGTGAAGCTCATTGGTTAGTAAATTTACAAGGTTGTGCTAATAATTCTAGCAAAGTCTGACTGTATTTATTTGGAATATTAGGTGTTGTTATGGCTTAGAGCACTGGGATTGAGTCCTCGGTTTATGCGATTGAGGTAAGTAAATTATGGTAATGCCTTTCGATTTTAAAGCATGTTTTAAATTGTTTTTGAAATGGTGGCAAGGTTTAAATTGATTTTATTAGCACTGAGCATGACTGATTTGAAATGGAATTATTTTCGTTTCCATTGAATAGGGCATGCCCGTTTGGAATTTACTAAATTGCTCTAATGATTTGAGAATTTTTGTAAATTATGATTTTCTGTTAAATCCATGCCCACATGGAATTTTCTGGTTATTTCTAAAATTTGAGATTGATTGTGAATTACGAATTTCTTTTGTAAATCCTGCATATTGTCTCTGATATGGTCATGTTTTACTATGCCCGCTAGTGGGAGATTTATAAACACTAGCACATGTCGACATGTTTACTGATAGGACTGATTCATTCTGTAATCCTACCAATGGGATAATACATTGGTTATTATTGAAATCCTGACAATGGGATAAAACATTGGTTATTACTGTGCCCGCCAATGGGAGGTTCATAAACGCTGGCCATGACTTATAGATGAGACTACTACTGAAGTTTCTTCTGCATTAACGGTTTTGTCATTGAACGCTTTGCTATTGAATTGAATCTGATTCTACATTAACGATTTGTCATTGAACGCTTTGCTATTGAATTGAATTTGATTTTGTATTAACGGTTTATCATTGAACGTTTTGTTATGTTAAATTGTTTATCTGGCATGCTTAAAATTTTACCCAAGGGTTATCCATATTTACTTACTGAGTTATCTCATAGTTTTCCTTGTCCACCATTTTAGGAAGCGAAGTCAAGGACGGGGAAAAACGAGGGGAGTGATGAGTTAGAAGGTAGCCATCTTGTAAATTGAACATAGATTTTATATATAAATCATGATCTTATAAGCTAGATTTTAATTGGAGATTTTATGATATGAGAGAAAATTTTATAATTTTATTTTCAGATTTTGTGGTATGATAAGTTCCGAGCCTTGTGCATTTGTGGGACCCTCTCACAAGTGCACGACGTTTGTTACGCCTCGGATTTGGGTTTTGGGGCGTGACAAAGCTTGAACTCACTCTTTTATTGCTAGTGGTCTAACTAGGATATTAAGGTAAGACTAAGTTGTTTGTTTCAATTTGTTTGTTTGTTGATTTTGGACTTTTAACAATGAGATTTATTAGATTACTTAGTTTTTTTTTTTCAACTTAAAATGTATTTTGTTTGCATTTTAGGCTCAATATGGAGTGCCAACCATTCTAGATCATACATCTTAAAGTACTGATGTTGTTGGTGACAACAATGTAGAGCATTTGGATATGATATTTCAAGGCTACAATGAGTTTAATTGTTAGTAGCAACAACACCAGTGGAAAATGAGGCATAAACAACTAGAACATATTCGACAACCAAGTGGTTATCGAATATAAACACATATTCGACAATATTTTTGTCGATTATGTAGATTAGTGTCAATTATTACTATTATTGCATGAATTGTCAGTAAATTGCTGTTATTTCTTTCAAGTTTTTTAGATTGAAATTTGTATGTTAATTACTTGCTTGAAGAGTTTTTTTTTAGTAAATTTGTATATACAAAGTTATGGATTTTAGATTATTAAATTTGAGATTAAGATTGAGATCAATATTGAGATTGAGGTCTAAATATCTTGAAATAGAGTAATATTTATATTGAATTTCTACAGTTACAAATTTGTTATTTATTTCAAATTAGCTCAATCTGAGATATTGATATTGAGATTGGGATGTGCATTATTATTGAACTAAAATGATATTTAGATTGAATTTTTATATATCAAATTATTTATTTCAAATTATTGAGATTAAAATCGGTGTGGTAATTAAACTAGAGTACTATTAATATTTAATATATATTTATAAAGTTACTAAATTATTTGCATTAAGATTAATATATGTATGATTGTTGAAATATAGTAGTATTTTTATATATTGAATTTATATACATAAAGAAATTTAATTTAAAATTATTAAGGTTAAGATTAAGATTAACATGTGTGGTTATTGACATGTATGGTTATTAGTTGATATGTTAATATACTTTGTCAAATTGAAATTCTAATTAGGTAATGAAACGATGGATGACCGTAGTTGGATAGATCGTTGTGTAGATGATAGTGGTTTTGTTACAGATGAATTTAGAAAGGGGGTGCATTTTTTTGTGAGATTTGCATTTTCAAGACCGAAAGCAAAATCAGAGATTAAGTGTCCTTGTTCGAAATGTAAATGTAGAAAGTGAGGAAATCCTGAGGTTGTCTCGGTGCATTTGTGTAAATATGGGTTTATGAATAACTATTGTACATGGTATATTCATGGAGAAACATCCAACAATACAATAAGAAATTTTGAAGGGGAATCTTCTAATGTGGAGTTTCTTAGAAATGAGGTAGATGCATTGTACCATGAAATGGTAGTTGATGCAATGAGTGCACAATCTGAATACAATGAGAGGCCAATGGCTGAGGAGCCAAATAGTAAGGTAAGAGAATTTTATGATCTCTTGCATGTTGCAGAAGTTTATATAGGCGTTAAGGGACATGATGTTACAGTAGTTTCATGGATGGCAGAACTGCTAAACTTGAAAACTCTTTATAATATGAGTACTGCTAATTGGGATATGGTATTGTCATTGAGTCGAAAGTTGTTGAGTCTAGAGGACCAAGAAAAGATGCCAAAGGATTTCTATAGTGCCAAAAAAATGATAAATGTGCTTGGAATTGGGTACAAGAAAATTAATATTTATGTCAATGATTGCTTCTTGTACTATGATGAGTAAAGTAAGAATTTAACTGCTTGTCCAGTGTGTGGAGAATCTCGTTATGAGTCGAGAAATATGTCTGCTATAAGGAAGAAAGATGTTCCAAGGAAATCTTTGTGGTACCTTCCAATTACCCCAAGATTACAGCGACTATACATGTCTAGGAAAACAACAAAGCACATGACATGGCATTTGAAATGCCGTGAGGATGCGGATGAAGTTATGCATCTTGCAGGTAGTGAGGCATGGAAACACTTTGATGAAACCTACCCAACATTTGCTAATAAACCTAGAAATGTTAGACTTGGCCTCTATACAGATGGTTTCAATTCATTTGGTTGCTCTGCAACACCATACTCTTGTTGGCCTATTTTTCTTACAGTGTACAACTTTCCTCCTGAATTGTGTATGAAGTCAGAGCATATATTTCTTGCCATGATAATTGTTGGACCTAAAAGTCCAGGAAAAAACATTGATATCATACTTAGGCCATTAATTGATGAACTTAAGGAATTGTGGACAAATGGGGTTGAAACTTATGATAGTTTCAAACAACAGAATTTTATCATGAAAGCTGCATTGCTATGGATTATAAATGATTTTCCAGGTTATGGCATGTTATCTGGATGGAGCACAAATGGGAGGTTGTCATGCCCTTATTGCATGGAGAACACTAAGGCTTTTCAACTTCAATATGGGAGGAAAACATCATTTTTTGATTGTTATCATCAATTTCTACCTCTTAAACATCCATTTCATAAAGATAAGAAATTTTTTTATCTCAATAGAGTTGAAGAAAGCCGTCCCGCCCAAGACTAAATGGTACTTTGATGGAAGAAAGGGTTAATCAGCTCCCTGACATAGTCTTTGGCCAACCACTTCGTAAACATTCAATTGCAAGATTTGGTGTTTTTCATAATTGGGTGAAACATAGTATATTTTGAGAATTGCCATACTGGAGGGATTCATTAATTCGTCATAACCTTGATGTCATGCATTATGAGAAGAAATTTTTAAATAATATTTAAAAATATTGTCATGGATGACAAGGGTTGTACGAAGGATAACACCAATGCTAGATTGGATCTACAACTGTATTGCAATAGATCTGAATTAGAATTAATACCTCAAGATGATGGAACAGCTATAAAACCCAATGCTAAATATGTTCTTACTTGAGAGCAACGAGCTCTTATCTATCAGTGACTGAAGAAATTGAGATTCCTAGATGAGTACACATCCAACATAGCACGTTGTGTTAACATGCAGGAACTTCGATTGTTTAGGGTGAAAAGACATGATTGTCATGTATTCATGCAGTGTCTTTTGCCAATTGTTTTCCATGATTTCCTCATAAATGAAGTTTGGGGTCCCTTAACTGAGATTAGTAACTTTTTTAGAGCTTTAATTGCTCTGATTATTCAAGTCAGTAACATGAAGATGTGGGAGGAAAAAATTGTTGAGACCATTTGCAAGCTATAGAAAGTATTCCTGCTAGCATTCTTTGACTTGATGGAGCGTTTGGCTATCCATCTACCATATGAGGCAAAAGTTGGAGGACCTATCCAATTTCGTTGGATGTATCCTTTTGAAAGGTATATTTCTTCTAATATATTTTTGCATCACAATAACATTCATGAGCATATTTAATAATTTAATGTTATTAATTAATTTTCTTATTTGTTTAACAGAAAAATGCATGACCTTAAGAAAACAGTGTTAAACAAAAATAGTGTTGAAGTTTCGATTTGCGAGTCTAATATTCTTTCAGAAATTACCTTCTTTTGCTCGCATTATTTTGGATCTGACATAGAGACAAGATTGAATCATCAACCGAGAAACATTGTCGGCGTGAATGATGATATGGATAATTGTTTGTCTGTCTTTAAACATTGAGGTCAACCACTAGGTGGAGAAATGCGTAGGCGTGCACTGTCACCCAACGAATTAAAGGCAACAGAACTTTATGTTTTGCTTAATTGTGAAGAAGTTAATCCATGGATTGCGTATGTTCTCTAGTTGTAACTTCCATTTGTTTAAGTTACTAGTATGTATAGATTGTTTACTCCAACTTCTTCATGTAGGCTTTTTGATTATCAAGTATGTTTCGATCTATCAAACAATCAAATTCAAATCAAACGGCAACTTGAATTTATTCCTTGGTTTAAGACAACGGTAAGTAATTTATTTTAATAATTTTTATTATTAAGATTTCAATTTTTATATATTTTAGGGTTAAATATTAAATATTTTTATAACAAATGTAGGTGCGTAATGGAAGATATGAGGTTGATTCTTGCCTTTGGCCTTTAGTAACTGGCCCAGTCAATAACGTTAGGGTATACAATAGTTATTGGGTTAATGGATTCCAGTTTCATACTATCGCATATGGACAAAATAAAAAGACTATGAATAATGATGTTTGTGTAAAGGGAACCACTTTCAATGATGAGTCAGATTATTATGGGAGTTTGAAGGAAATAATTGAGCTTCAATATTTTGACTCATAAGTTCATCAATCAGTGATTTTGTTCAAGTGTGAGTGGTATGATATCAACAAAGGCATCGTGGTCCATCTGACATCTGGTATAGTTAACATAAATTTTCGGTTTAAATTACAAATAGATGAACCATTCATATTGGCCAGTCAAGCTTAAAAAGTGTTTTATGCCCGTTACCCATCTCAAAATCCTTGCAGAAAAGGATGGTTTGCTGCATGTAAGATTAGAGCAAGAGCAATAATTAACACTTCATCATTAAGTGATGGTGAAAATGTTTATTATCAAGACGATGATCCTTCTATGCCACAATTGGTGCAACCCTCGACTATTTTAAATGATCATGTTTCACTAACATCTCAAAGGGGAGAACAAGTGGTGATTAGTGAGGTCATGCAATTGCCATATGTGGCAGACGAAGAATGTGTGGGTGAGGATGATGATCAAGAGGAAGAGTTTGATGGAATGAAAACGTCGGAAAAAGAAGTTTCAAATTACTTAATCGAGAGTCATGGTGACTAAATGTATCTTATTTGATTTTTTTAATTAATTGAACAAGGGATAAAGGACTACTTATGTTTTCTTTATTATGTGTTTCCATTAATGACTTTTATTTTTATATTTATATCAATTTACTTATAAATATATATGTATTTATAGTTATTTATATATATTTAGTTGTGTATTGATATTTATGCTTTTCATTTTTTTCTCATTTTTTAAATTCTCATTTTAATCAAATTATGATTTTTTTTTTTCATATTGTATTAAGCTATTGAACTTATTTAATGAGTTTGGTTGCTGTTATATCTTTATCTAATATAAAAGTTATTAATTGAATATTTTTATATTATGTTTTTTTTACTCTTTAAAATTTTTGGTTTTCTTCATGAAAAGAAAGTTGATGTGTTTCCATTATTTTTTGTGTACAGATATGAGATGAGGTACATGAGATGCATCTTTTTGTAGACAGCATGTTGATCCAATGGGAGAACCACAGAGGCCACTTTGTTGTCTTATTTGGGGGCCTCGTAAGGCTGTTCCTACATAGCAGCAGCTGCCCAGCTTGAGCCAGCCTCTGGCACAGAAGTAGCTTTCCAGTTTGACTCAGCTTCCCACACAGCTGTAGTAGGAGCAACCCACTATTACTCAGCCACCATTGGACGATGACCAGTACACTGGTGATGATGCAACAATGGAGGAGGACACTGAAGAGCGTAATTTGGAAGTTGAGTTGGATGTTGAGTTTGCTGTGCTTGATCCTGAGTTAGATGCTCAGCTGGAGGAGGAGCTATCATGTGTTGTCCCGAAGACAAGATGTGGCATGGATAAAGGAGATGACGCTCCTGTAGACCCGAGTCAAAGGAAGGTACTTAGCCTTAATCATTGAGGCACGTTCAACCATGAGCGGTTTAGGAGGACTGCCACAGTAATATGGAAGTACTTGTATGATAAACAAGTGCTTTTTTGGTCTAGCTTGCCTGAGGAAAAGAAAAGGGTTGCTTGGGAGAATTTCTAAGTATGAAAATTATAAAATAAAATGAAGTATTTTTTTAAGAATTTATTTAGATGTTATCATTTTATTTTATAGCATTTGATATGGAAGTACAGAGTATATTTTATATGATTTTTTTATATTTTATTTATTAATAGTGAAAAAAAATGATAATTTAAGCAAAACTTTGCTCTTTTTTAAGAAAAATCAAATAAATTATTAAAATTAATTTTTTTTTTCATTGCAGAGGACATTATTGGGAAGAAGATGATGCTCGTGTGTATAAAATTTTAAGATTACATTGTCGGAACCGTTTCCGAGATGAGCTTCATCGAGCTCGAAAGGCATAGGTTAAGTACAAGAAGTTGCTCGAGTTCATGCATAAGAATACCTTTAAAATTTTGTTGGAAAAATGGAGGAGTCCAAAATATATTGCACTCCAGGAAAAAGGTCAGTAAAACCGAGCAAAGGGTGACCATGTGACCCACACAACTAGATGCCTTTCTATTGGGATCCATGAGGATCGACTGGTTAGTAGGATATACTTATATACATACATATATAAATTATTTTTGTTTACCATAAAAATAGAAATGTTATTTATTTTATTGATATTTTAATAGGCAGCTAAAAGAGGAGTTTGGCCAACACCTTTAGAGTCGTACTTGTTGACTCACACGACTCGCCGACCTGATGCTCCAGAAGATGCCCCACCCACTTAGATATATCCATAGACTGAGTAGATATATGTAAGAATCTGATTCTTTTATGATATTAATTTTATTTATTTTTAATGTCAATTTTGATCAAGGTTTAAGTACCATTTTGGTCCCTCAACTTTACATTTTGATACAAAAATTGTCCCTCACCTTTAAAAAGTACCAAAATTATCCTTGAATTTTCATTTTTGGTACCAAAATGGTCTTTCCGTCAGTTAAATGGACAGGTGGCAGTTAATTCGCCAACAAATCAATTCTTTTGTTTTTAACTAATGACATGGAAAAAAAAAAAAGCATAGTTGGCCATTCTTTTTTATGTGTTGGCATTTTTATATAATTTAAAAATAATGACATTTCTTTTTTTTTTTTTTCCATCCATGTCAAAAAAAAAGGGATCACTTCTTCCTCTTTCACTCTCTCTCCCTTACCTTTCCTTTTCCCTTACTTCTACAAACCCTAAAACTTGAAGCTTAGCATCTCTATCAACCTTCCTCCTTATTCTTTCTTCTTTCTTCTTATTCTTATATATCAACTAGAATGATTCAATTTAATAACTTTATCTTTCCTTGATTTTGGGCCTAAAAACTACGCCCCCAAATACCACACTACCAGTTCTCTCCTGTCACTCCAATCCTAACAAATCCAATCTTTCTCGTTTTTCATTTTTCTTTTTCTATTTTCCAAGAAAATTCTCAGTATTATTATTCTCTGTTATCCATTAACATCAACTGTTATTCCACTACCATAATCAATTTCTTCTTCCTTTGTTCTTCTCCCTCTAGACGACGCCACCTGCTCGCTCCCTCCTTCCCTCGCGCATTTCATGGATGAAATGTACGGAATCCACTCCACTAGAGAGTACGCATCGAACAAGTTGTTGATGTCGTCGCCGGATAGTATAATCGTACCTTCAGATTACCATGCCTTGTTTTGCTCCTTGAGTCAAGTTCCGATGTTTGGATCCGATGAGTTGCTCTTCGCTGCTTCGGCTATATCTGAAGCTATCTCCATCACGCTTGAAATTCAACCGGAAGAAGACATGTCCTTAGTAGATCTGCAAATCGCTTTAGATCTACGCCAAACTCTGGCCATCCATGGCTCTCCTTCGACTGCTTCCTCTGTTTCTTTCCCTTTTTATTTCTCTCTCGGTTGCCGAGATCCGATTCTCAGAGATCCACTTTGACAACCGCCCCATAATCCCTTTTGGTAAGTTTGAATTCACCCACACTGGACGTCTTGAGCTCACCATCTCCAACATCGACCTCTGGAATCAAAAACCTCGATCTTTCCAAGGTTGGGTTCTTCCTCTGCACCAACGATGTGTGGCTGCACGTGCTCCAGCAACTCGAAGACAGCAATATCTTGTATGCTCTCCGATTCGATCTCGTCGAGTCGGTGTTTTCCTTTAACTCACTCAACGGTAAAAAGAGTTTTCATAAATTTTATCAAGCAGATGATGCTAATCAATACACCCTTGTGTTTGCTAATTGCCTCAGTGAGGTCAAAGTATCGATGACCATCCGATCGGTGATGTTCAATCTTGTTGGGTTTGAGAAAAACCCAGATTTTGAGAGGAAGAAGAAGGGATAAGAAAGAGAGAAAGAATAAGAAGAAGAAAGAAGAAGGATGAGTAGGGATAGGAAGGAGGAAGGTTGTTAGAGATGCTAAGCTTCAAGTTTTAGGGTTTGCAGAGGTAAGGGAAAAGGAAAGGTGAAGGAGAGAGAAAGTAACAGAGGAAAAAGAGATTTTTTTTTTTTTGACGTGGATGGAAAAGATGGCCAACTGTGTTTTTTTTTTTTTTTTCCATGTCATTAATTAAGCAAAAAAAGAATTGATTTTGTGGCATTTTAACGTGCCACCTATCATTTAACTGACGGAAGGACCATTTTGGTACCAAAAATGAAAGTTTGAGGATAATTTTGATACTTTTTAAAGGTGAGGGACAATTTTAGTACCAAAGTGTAAAGTTGAGGGACCAAAATGGTACTTAAACCTTTGATCAAAAGAAGAAAAGTGATACAATTTTTTATCCATTGTACTCAGGAAATGATTATTTTTCATTTGATTTCTCATTATCATTTGAAATTACTAACTAATGAGAATTTTATTTTTGAAACAGAACGATGCTCACCAAAAATATGCACAGGAGCACGGGTCAAACAAGGATTCGTGGCCAGAATGGGATCCACTTATCTGGAAGAAGGTGGTTGGACCTCCTAAAAAGGGTCAGATGAGAGGGATCTACATAACAGGATTCAGCAGAGCATGGCATCCCTTGGCAATGGTATGACATGAGTGAGGCCTTCTCTTCTACCACCAAGATTCTTATGACACAGGTCTAGCAGTTGCAGTCTGAGCTTACTCAAGTTCGGGAAAAAATGGCTGAGTGAGTTCAGACAAAGGTGGCCGCACGTATTCATACAGAGGTATCATAGAGAGGATTAGAGATGGAGGCCAGCTTTGAGAAGAGATTACAAGAGCACATGTGCTTACTTAGCCAGCAATATTCTATGAATGCTACACAACCCCAAACTGGTTATCCTTCTTCTGCACCACCCCAGATTGCTAATCCTTCTTTTGGAGGATTTAGACCTGATCACTTACCACCTCCTACTTAGAGACATTGATATTTTAAACCTATGTTATATATGTTTATATATATATATATATACTGCATATATATATATATGGTATGTAGGATAAGAAGTTAGTATATATTTATTAACTTAAACTAGTTTTAAGTTATGTAGTATATGAGTTTAAATAGGTAAAATATATAATATTAATAAAATTTAACAATCCTACAGTAAAAAGAAAAAAAATTACAATATAATATTTCACAAAGAAATAACATATATATATCTTTATCTAAACTAGAATTTTTATAATTAATTATTAGCTAAAAAAATTGGTTCTTATTATTTTTAAAACCAAAAATTTTACAAGAGAATTAATAAAAAAAAAACTCAAAAGAAAAACCAAAAAATAATTCAACAAAAAAGAAATAATTAGATAAATCAAATTGTCAATTAGTTTAAAGAAATAGTATATTTGTTTAAATATAAGGATTAAAAAATAAAAAAAATAAATAAAATTATGACTATATTCGACAGCCAATTTGGCTATCGAATATAATGCCGCCCCTGCCTTCCTAGCAAAAAAAATTGAATTTCCCGGCTAATTAAATTTCAAACATATTCAACAAAAATTCTGTCGAATATGTTTGAAGTATAAATACCACTCTGACATTAGAACATCTCATTGTCTTCTGATTTTTATCTTCTTGCCTCTTCCCTTCTCCTTCTCCTTCTCCTTCTTTTCGCAGATAGCATCTCTCTTTGAGTTTCTTCTCCTTTTATTTTCGTTTTTCTTTCTTTTTTTACAATCTCCTCTTTATATTTTCATAAATTACCTTTAGTTTTGACAAT